ACTCTGATTCCGTTCTCTGGTTCAGTTACTTGCAAAGCCAGTTCTTAAGAGTCCGGAGTGAGTGGGTTGGTTGCCAGGTGAGGTGGCGCATGCCTGTTAGTTCTAGCGGCTCGGGAGGCTGAGACAGGAGGATCGCAAGTTCAAAGCCAGCCTTAGCAACTTAGTGAGGCTCTAAGCAACTCCGCGAGATCCTGTTTCTAAATAAAATATTAAAAGGGGCTGGGACCAATGGAATAGAGAAAGGAAATCAGGGGGAAGGAGGGGAGGTACTGGGGAATGAAACTGATCAAATTACTATTTTACTTATGTTTTTATTGTGTGTGCATATGAATATATTATAACAAATACCACCATTATGCATAACTATAATGTGCCAATAAAAAGAATTTTTTTTTAAAAAAAGGGCTGGGGAAGTGGCTCAGTGGTTAAGTGCCCCTGGATTCAATCCCTAGTACTCCTAAAACAAACAAACAAAAAAGAGTGAGCTGGTCAGCTGAGATGGTGGAGTGACCTGGCTGTACTTTCTGCCCCCTCCCTTTGGGCCAGGAATGTGATGAGGTATCAGGGGTAGTCACCTCCTGGGAGGAGGGAGGGAGACCTGTCTTAGCGTGCCTGGGCAAATCTCAGATAAGTAAATATGGAAGCAACACTCTCCTGAGTTTGGGCTCGCTAGACATGTTCTTTGGCATGTTCTTACTTTTTTTGTGGGGGGGTGGTGGTAGTGGTGGTGGTCAAATTCTAATTAGCAGGCTGGAGGCCTGGGATGGCTGTAATGCAGAAGGAAGTGGGTGCAGGGATGTGGAGATGGAAATGTGGAGTGGAGGAGGGCAGGTGGAGAGACGGCAAGACCAGCGTGTATGAAACTGAGGAGCCGGAAGCTTTAGCCCCACCCCAGTGCACCCCAACAAGCCCCACATCTGTAGTATTCAAGTTTTGGAACCCATCTGTTTTAGCCTATTTCTGTTTCTCTCATGGAGAATATCTGAGATTGTAAAATTTGTAAGAAAAAGAGTATACTTGGCTCACAGTTCTGAAGGCTAGGAAATTCAAGAACAGGCAGCCATATCTGGTAAGGGTCTTCTTGTTGGTGCTTGCAGCATCCCAAGCAGTGGGCAACTTGGCTTTTATAACAGACTTGCTTTTAGATGATCCATTAACTCATTAATTCATGAACGGATTAATTCATGGAGGGCTGAATCCTCATAATCTAATCACCTCTTAAAGGTCTCACCTGGCCCCACTTCTTCATACCTCATGTTGAGTTTTTTTTTTTTTTTCAATATGAGTTTTTCTTGGGACATTCAGACCATGGCACACTCAGGTGCCCCATCTGTATGCTCCTGAGGTTGGCCTAGACAGACTCACAGAGCATTATACTGGGGTGTATCTCTCCCCATCAGAGGTCATGCCTCAGGAGAAGGCCCCCTTTCTTTCAGCAGGATCTGTCTGCTCTTTCTTTGCTGCAGATGAGCTCTTGGTTGCAGATGGTCACCCTCCGTTGCCTGAGCCTGATCCTGTTTGTCTGGAGCCAGGTACCAGGGCTCCAGGGCCAAGAATTCCAATTTGGGCCCTGCCGAGCAGAAGGGGTCAATCTCCAGCAACTGAGGGAGGCCTTCTGGACCATCCAGGAAACCGTGGTGAGTGCACAGATGCTCTGGACCCAGCCATGGGGATAATTATGAAGACCTTCACAGGTTGCTCATCAGTTTTCTACATAAGAACTCAAGGAGGTCAGGAGGCACTATGAGCCCCTTGGTACCCTGAGAAAGCTGAGGCTCAGAAAGATGTGGTCAGCCCCTAGTAAAATAAACAGAACTCAATGGAAAGAAATATGCTGATTTGTTCAGGCTTCATCCTGAATGGTGGGCTCTGGTTCTAAGTTCAAGATCTGAAATGAATGGCTGGGCTGCAGAGGGAGCTCCAGGTGCAGCCCCTCCTCCCCCATGTCTCCTCCTTACCCTGCAAAATACAGAGCAAACCAAACTGACTTATTTCCTCTTGTCTCAAATGACTAAAAGAATCAAACAGGTCCTTCAGCCAAGTCTGTGTTCAGACCTGGGATTCCATATGCCTGTGTGGGAGTGAGGGGACACGCTTAGTGATGTTCTATACATAAGACTTGTCCCCCCTCTCCAGGGGCTAGCTCAGCACCACCCCTCCTGGGTCCTCCTTTGGTCCCTCTGGTCTCTGGCGCCTCATAGACTGGTTGGATTTAGGGGTCCGGGGAAGCAGCTCATACTTGTGGGATTAGCTTCCTCACTGACCCCTAACCTAGAGACATCTTTTCTTTCTGTTCCCCAAGCAAGCTCAGGATAACACCACCAGCGTCCGGCTGCTGCGCCAGGAGGTTCTGCAGAATGTCTCGGTAATCAGATGGTGGTCAAGAACAATACCTCCTTTTGTGGGGCTGATGGAGTCCTTCCCAATCTACCCTGGGTTGACCCTATACAGGGTAGATCTGGCCATGAGCCAGAGAAGCGTGCAGATGAATCACTCTGTGGCGGTTGAGACTTATAAACATCTTTCTCCACTGAGCCAGAGTGTTGTCACCAGTCTCTATTTCACTTTTGCTTATATAAACAATGGGCATCTATTGAGCTGAACCTTCTTTTCCACTAATATGCTTTTCTCTTACCTATTTCTGTCTTCTCATTACCCGTCAATTCAGTGAGTGAGTACAAATGTACTGAGCCCTGATCCCTAAGAGGCGCGGAGCTTCAAGAGCTGAGGGGGGTTGTAGTGCATTGCTGTTGAAGAATGTTCCTTTTTCTCATTTCTTTTCCTATTAGTCATTTTTCCACCAACTCTTCACCACAAAGTCCAAGTTCAAGTGCTTTCAGGGTCCCTGACCTCCCCATATTAGGGAGGCTGTGTGGTGCAAAAGAAAGGGAATACCAGCTCCATGAGGAGTCAGGGTTCCAGACCCTCGTCTGTGCCTGCCACTGACAGCAGTGTGACTCTGGGTGGGTCACCTCCTTCCTGAGGTCTGGGTTCCTTCTGTGAAACAGGTGTTATTCTCTAGGGCCCCTGAAGTTCCTTCAGATCAAACGTTCATCATCTCCTAGAAGGCTCCTGCCCCTACTGTACTTATCTTGCCTTGGGTTGCATATGGGTCGTCCCTCCAGGGTGGGCAGAGGTTTCTGCTTTGCAGTGACTCAATCCTCCCCCAGGATGCTGAGAGCTGTTACCTTATCCACGCCCTGCTCAAGTTCTATCTGAACACCGTTTTCAAAAACTACCACAAAAGAGCTGAATTCAAGACCCTGAAATCATTCTCTACTCTGGCCAACAACTTTATTGTCATCATGTCAAAACTTCAACCCAGTGTGAGTAGAACCAAGCTGGGCCTTGGAGTCGGCCAATGGTGTGTTTTGAGAACACTCTCTTTCCTTATCCGGTCCTGGCTTCTATTCCACAACAGGGAGTTATGGGGGTTATGGAAAAAGAGTGCTGGGTTCAGGTCTAGGTTCTGCTTCTGATCAACTGGGTGACCCTTTGCAAGGTGCTCGGCCTCTCTGGCTTCAGTTTTATCATCTGTTAAATGAGCATGACACTTCTCCCTGGAGAATTAAAGGAGATCGCTTCTGCCACCTGGTAGGAGTTGGGCATTGACTACTCTGAGGATAGCTCAGCTCTGTCCTCTCAGGCCTTGGGACCCTTTGTAGCATCACCATCATCATCATTTAATTCTTGGCTCAACATTTTTTTTTCTTGTTATCCAGCAGGAAAATGAGATGTTTTCTGTCAGTGAGAGTGCACACAAACGGTTTCTGCTGTTCCACAGAGCATTCAAACGGGTAAGGCTAAGAGCTGGGAGCTTGCTCACCTAGCAGAATAGCTCAACCTGTCAGACTAAGGAGCCTCAGAGACCTAAAGTGGAATTTAATATAGGTGACTCCACCTGGTTTACCCCAAACCCACCTGACTTAGCAGGAACATAGGCATATTTATATCAATTAGCATGTACTTTGTATAAGTGGCAGAAATGAAGTGGTCTTTTGTTCCCCAGCTGTTATCAAGTTAAAATGCTATTATATTTCCCTACCAGATGATTTCATTATTGGGGACTTTCCCTGTGAGAGAATTTTATGGGTACTTGAACTGGGTAATGAAAGAAGGCGAGGAGTCACCCCACCCACCCCCAAACACATCTGCAGTACTTTCCATAATGCTCAACTGGTCTCATGTATGAATACAAATGATGGAAAATTATATTATCTCTTCCTAAATTTAGACACACACACACAAAATAATCCAAATTTCATTCTCAGCACCTCTCCCCACAAGTTATTTTTTTTTCCAAAACGTGATTTTGATCATACATTAGCCTATAAATAAATGGTGAAGAGCAAAATACATGATGGAAAGAGGCCACCCTGGCTCATTTCCTCATTTGCGCAGTGGACGCAGGTGGTGGGCCATACCCACCCCAGGCTGCATTCTGTGGTTCTTGTGGTTAGGGGTGCTGAGTGCTCTTGTCCTTTACCCAACGCTACTCTGAGGCTACCCCATGGCTACTCTCTTTATCCTCATCCCTGAAGCAGACAAACACTCAGATGGGGACAAGGGATGGGAAGGAGAGATCATCAGAGACCATTCCACAGGTGACCCAGCCCTCGATTTGGAATCATGTCTGTTTCTGACATGGCAGATTGGAAGGAAAACCTTCTCTTGGCTAACGTAGCTGAACTCTGGCTCTCCTTTCTCCTTAGTTGGACATAGAAGCAGCTCTGACGAAAGCTTTGGGGGAAGTGGACATTCTCCTGACCTGGATGGAGAAATTCTACAAGATCTGAATGTCCAGACAAGAATCGTGAACTTGTTCATTCTTCATGTAATTTCAAACAGGTGTCCCTTCCTGTGCGGCTCGCTGGGCACTTCACACTCTTGGCCATGAACCCTACTGTGGTCCCAGGCTTCCCTTCAAAGACTTCATTCTTTCAGCAGCCCAAACGACAGTCACAGGATGCTGTGAACAATCTACAAAGTGGATTCCTGTATTGATTACAACTCCATTTAATTACTGCCAGTGCTTCAACTGGAGTTATATTTATTTGCAAGGTGCTAAATTCCCTGGAGACAGCAGAATATAGTGTGCCCCATATTTCCCTTTTTATCTCCCATGATCCTTGCTGCAGTGTGGGGCAGTGGGTAGGTGCTCAATTAAGACTTAATAAACTGGATTTTATTTTTTTTACCTGTGTTTGGATTTTTGAGGAACAACGAGGGATGCTAGGATATAATATTGAACTTTAACACATGGAAGTCATATATCTGCAGGGGCACAACATTGGGGTGAGGGTGAGCATTAGTTTGAAAAGTAAATGATGGAAGATAACATGTTGGTTAAAGTGCCTGGCACAAAGCAGATTGTCACCCAACATTTCATTTCCTGCTGCACTCCCTACCCCTCCCCACCCTACCCTACTCCACCATCCCTTCTCCCTGGATCCCTCCCTTTCTTCTTCTTGTCATTTTTTCCTTTATCTGATACTTGAGAAAGTGACAGCAACAAGCTGACATCACTGATGGTGTCTCTGTGCCTGGAGGTACTGTCAAATCTGTGATGACATTTCTTGCTAATAAAGGGGGCAACTCATCCCAGATCTGGCAGTGTGTTCTCCCTACTTCTGGGCAAGTGCCTGGGGAGACTGTGTTGTGTATCAGGGAAAGATCTTCTCAATGGCAAGAATGGTCATTCTCAAGCTCTAACTGTACTTTGTAGTTCACATCAATCCAAAGATAGTATCCAATTATGACCTTGCCCCAAAAACTTAAGAGAAAGACTACACTTAAGAGCTGCTAGGAGGCAGGATGTCTCCTTTTCCATGACAGAAGAGCTACTGCGGAGCCCCTGATCCTCCAAGAACCCCATGCTACTTTCCTTCCCACTTTGCTATATGTTGTCTGGACCTGGCAAAAAGATGAGGGACATTTTTTAAAGCAGAGAGAGGTAATGACTTGGGATGACTAAAACAGACCAAAAATGAGTGTTCTATCAGGGTTAGGATGTAGAAGAAGGGTAAGGAGGAAACAAAGACTGTGTCTAAAAGAGCAGGAGCTGCTAGGGTCAGGGTACTTTTCTATAGCAAATGAGGGAGACTTAGACTAAAGAGGATTGGTGTATATATATATATATATATATATATATATATCACTGTCACTAACAATGTTGGTTCTGAGAATGTAGGATACTTTATAACATCAAAGTAAATTGGACAGGAGATAAATAGTTTCACACTAGCAAGTTCCAGCCTTTGGGTCAAGGCAAAGTCCTTCCTAGGAGTGTTATCATACCAGGCCCTGCCTAGCTCACAGGGCTGAGGCCCATCCTCATGAAGTGCAACCCAGAAGCTGTCTGTTTGTGTGAGGCCTAAGCTTGGGAAGGGCTTCTGAAATGGCAGCTATGCCTACACTCCATACTAATGCCATGTGATCTAGAGCCAGAGCGGCAAAGTCCCTGTGACCAAAGACACTGCAAATGCCACAGTCTGTTACATGGTTTGAAAAGGAAGCAGGCAGCATTGAGACAAATGCTATGCACACCCAGACTCCTCGAGGCACACAGTGTGGGGTACAAAGGTGTGCAAGATTATGTGGGGCAGAGCCATGCTCAAGGCACAGATAGATGGGGGCATGCAAGGTGATCAGGGCTCTGTGAGGGGATGGAGCAGTCATTGGAAATTAGCAGACAGACAAGACTTATTGTCATCAAGGTGTGGCTGCAGGGGTACAGCTAGGAGGGTGAGTCAGGCTGGGAATATTGATGTAATCATTTGACTCAGTGTCCTCCCTCTTGACAGCAGGCTGGTGGCAGATGCTCATATATTCACAGCTGGTCTTCAGACATGGGGTATGGAGCCAGGGAGCTTCGAGCACCTGGAAACACCAAATAAGCATCACTGAATTTGGATGGATGGTTTTAGTACCTTTCCAGTTGTGTTTCCATAACAGGAAATGGGGGGCATGACGGGGGGGGACTCTGAGTTCTAGAAGGCAAAGACAAAGAGGTAGCTGATTTCCATCAAGTGGGCCAGCCTTGGGGATTTTCAGGGTGGTATCCCACCCAATACCTGGAAAACACTTAGAACTAATAGGGGAAGGAAATGCCTTAAATGGAGCTCAGATTGAAATCGTGTGGCTAAACATGGGTCTGAGGAATCCCAGCTGTCAGAGGAGTAACCCCTTGGGGATAAAAATGTGACTTGTGGAACAAATATGCATCTTCTCGGGGAGGAATTCACAGGTACAGTGATTCACCCTTGTACCTCTCTGTAAGAGCTTGGAGAGGCCATGACATGGCATTCCAGAAAGGGGCTGGGCAGGGAAGGGGAGGAAAATTGCTGACCATGTGGCACTGTGGTGCTTCTCCTCCTCCTCAGACAGATGGCTTCTTCCCTTCAGATCATCTACCTTTAGTATGATTAGTTCTTAGAGGACAGGGCTGTGCCAAAGACCCCAACATGGCACAAGTACTATAATATTCACAGAAATCCATGGTAGGGACTGTGATCACGTACTTAAACACAATTCTACGATCAGGATGTTCAGGACCCTGGATACAGTGAGCACTCATGGAAAGGAGCTTTTATGTTTTGTACTTTCCAAGAGGGGAATGCAGAAGTAGCTTCCTTCAAAAACATCTCCTAGCTGGGTGCAGTGGCTCACACCTTTAATACTGGCTACTCAGGAGGTGAGGCAGGAGGATGGCTAGTATGAATCCAGCCTGATCAACTTAGTGAGACCCTGTTTCAAAAAAAAAAAAAAATACAAAGTGTGTGTGTGTGTTGGGGGGGGGATATGGTGTGAATGGGGATGTAGTTCAGTGGCGGAGTGCTTGCCTAGCATGTATGAGGCTCTGGGTTCAATCTCCAATACTGCCAGAATAAACAAACAGAATCCCCCATTGCCTTTTACAGTTCATCATTTGAAACTGACTTACTTGGTTTTAAAATGAATTTGTTCCATCAATGTTTTTCCCCCGATACTGGGAATCAGAGTCTCAAGTAGGGAGGCAGGGTAAGCTGTGAGAAAGGCCCCTGCCCAGGAGAGGACTGTGTGGTCCCAGCAGATTCAGAGGAAGGCTGGTGGATGGTGGAGTAGACAAACACGGTGGGACCATTCCTAAGCTGCAGTGAGCTTTCTCTAATGGGGTGGGAAGGAGAAAGCTCAAGAAACTGGAGGTAACTGGCAGAGCTGGGTATCACTCTCTCCTTTTCAGCAAGGCTCATGATTGCCAACCAGAGACGACCTTTCACAGCTTCCCTTGAAGGCAGAGGTTGCTGCTTGACTAAGCTAATTAAGGTCGATAATTAAGCTAAATAAGTACAAGGAATGTGTGAAACTTCGGGGCCATGGTCTTAAAGAAGCACTTCTTTCTTTCTTGGTGGGCTGGAATGTAGATATGATACTAGAGACTGAGTATTGACCAGGGACCAGGACCATCCAGAGATTGAGGGAGCAGAAAGTCCCTGCATGACTTCATGGCTCAGGCCACCCCTTCCTGTCCCTCTGATTCTTTGCTTGAGAGGAAAATAGGCTGCTAACTTTGGAGCCATGTGTTTGGGGGTCTGTTACATGAATAGTCAACACTCTAATTAAAACTGGGCTTCTCCGTGGTGACAGAGAAAGAAAAAAATGGCATTAGTTCTTTTTTGGGTATTAAAACCAGTATTTTAGTCACTGTTGGCTTCTTTAGAAAATAAAAGGTTTTCTTAATTTGGGAAAACAAAATGGACGGATAGATTCAAGGCTTCTTTCCTAATGGAAACTCTCTATGTCCATTCCTTGATGAACCCTCCTCACCCAAGGTGTTTAATCTTGTCTGCTGAGTCACTTTCTAAGTTAAGCCTGACCTCCTCCAGTGATGGGTAAACGACCTCATCTCATCTTAGGGTTTACTAGAAAGTTTTTCCTCACATTAAGATGAAACCCTCTTAAACCTCCCAGGAAACTAATTTCTTCATTCGAAAGTTCTTCAAGTAGCTGCAGGTTACTATGTATCATTCTCTAACAGCTAGTTAACTAAGAATACCACGATCCCTGGGGAGTTGGTCTTCTGACAACACCAAATAAGGTAATGGATACAACTTGTCCCCCGAATGGGCCCCAGGATCTGGGGTAAGATCTTGCAACCTGGAGCTAAGACCCTGCTCTAGTAACAGTGCTCTCTCTGGTCCATGCCCAGAGTTGGGGGCGCGGGTTCGGGCTGAAGCTGCCAATCAGAAGACGGGTGGAGCTTACCTGTGGCGGGGCTGAGGGCGCAGATGTTCCAGGATCAGCAGGAGGGACCTGCTTCTGGCCTAAGGGGGATGGGAGTGCTGATGTAAGGGCGAGATGGAGCCTCCTGTTCCGCCCCCGCCCCGCCCCATCTTGCGGGAATCCTGAGGATGTAAGGCGGCGGCGCGGGGTGGGTGAGGGGAGTCCTGCTCCCCCAGAACCTGGCGCCAGGCGCACCATCTACGCCCGCGCTCCTTCTGATCTTCTGTAGGGTCACCCGCCAGCCACCAGCTTCCGCTCACCGCCAGCGTTAGACTCTGGAGCGCGCCGGGGGCAGGCGCTGTAGATGTTCTGGGAGCGCGGCCGCCGCAATCTGGGCCGCTGCTCCCGGGGCCGCTGGGAGGCCTCCAGGGCGCGCATCCTCAACGCCATTCGGCGGACCCGCCTGGAGAAGGCTTCTCCGTGATGACAGAGAAAGAAAAAAATGGCATCAGAGGCCTGAAGCCAGCTTTCCTTTCCTTCCCCAAACTCAAGGCTGCTCCCTCCTCGATGCTTGGCGACGTCAGACCTACAGATGCTCAAAGTGTGCGGGACACTAGATGGATCGGCTTACCCTCTCCTGAAGACCAAAGGTCTCAGGCCGCCCTCCTCCTCGTGCCCATTCCCAGGTCACTGACCTTCGCCCCACTTCCCTACACCCCAGGCTACTCATCGCTATCTTCCGGATTTTTGCTGCAAAATCAAGCAGAGATCAGAACCGTCTGGGAGCTTAGCTTTCCCACCCCAGCCCAGAGCCCAGCTGCTCACCTCTCTTCCTTTGAATCGCTCTTTTTACCACCAGCCCCAGAAGGGCCAGCAGGAGAAGACCCAGGACAGTTGGGATCAGGATGTGAAATCCTTGATCCTCCCTTCCAAACTCTGGACCACGGTTGAATTCTCTGGGAAGGGAAGGAATGGGAGAGAGAAAGAGAAGGTAGTAAGGGAGATAGGTTTAAAGAAGCACTTTCTTGTGGCAGACTTTTTAAAGACAACTCTCAGACTTGTTCCTTTGTTAATAGAATTCTTTCCACTCCCCCCCCCAAAGACTCTTGTCTGTGGAGAGTAAACTGGGGTTCAAACTCAGATGTACCTTTTCCTGGATTCATGACTTTGAACGAATCTCTAACTTCTCTGAACCTCATTTCCCCACAAATCTGCATCATTTTCACTTTTGCAGAACTGTTATTAAGATGATACAAAATAGTGGATATGAAGAATTTAATGCTCCTGGCCTACAGCAGGAGATGATAAATATGCCAGTCCCTTGCCAACACTGTGCACCTTGGTTTACTCACATGGTTATTGAAAATATTAAATAAGCTATAGTGTTGTTTTTTTTTTTTTTTTTTTTTTTTTTTTTTTTTTTTTTTTTTTTT